TTCTAGAATCCTGCCATTTCACTGGCACGGGGACCCCAACTCCATAGCACCAACGCAGGCCCATAGAGGGCACTCTTCCCATGTATGTGTGAGCCCTCCTCTCGCCCAGGGAGTGGAGTGTCACCTGGGCAGCCAGGAGACGGAACCTCTGACCATGTCATGATCCCTTGTAGCACTGGTCCCCTGCCCTGCTGTGCCCTGAAGCACCTCCACCGTATCTGCCATCGCCCTCTCCACGTGGTCAGCTGCTGAATGCTGCTGTCTGTCGTGCAGAGTCCAGCGACCTGGCTGAATGGGGCCATGTGCAGCACCCTCACCCGCCCACACCTGTGCTCCCCAGTGAAGGCCAGCAGGCAGCCTGGGTGGAATGTCTAGGGATTTCCATCAGAAATGGATGCCGCCTTCTCTTCCCTGGGCTCTGCTGAGAACTGACTGTGGGGGCACTCGGGGGCCATGGTCTCTCCATGAGTGGGGCACATGGACCTCCTGCACAACTGGCTGCTCTCGACAGGATTGAATACACCTCATCAGAGTGAGTGGCCAAGTCAGTGCCCAGAAAGGGAAGTCGGCCCTTGCGGTCTGCAGATGGGAGCAGGCCCCACATCAGAACTGGAGCCGACGACACACCCACACACCTGGATGAGCACGTCTGTCTCCCCTGGAAACTGGGGAAACAGTGGGGTCCCCGCTTGTCAGTAGATGGTCACCCAGCACACGCTGCTCAGCAGGCCCTCACCCGTGGTGCTCATGGGCAGGCACTGCCCTGAGAGTGAGGGCCACTCGGGTGTCTTTTTACCTTCTCACCCAAATTAAGTTTATGTATTTAGAGAATATTTTCATAAGGAGAAAGAAAATCTCTACATCCTTTTAGTTCCCACCCTCTAAGCCTGCAGCTCTCTGTCCACACTTCCTTAGAGGCCTTGTAGGGTGGCCCATCCTGGGCTCCCCAGGTTTTCAGGCAGACCAACCCCAGCCTCACCTCCCAGGACTGGTTCTAACAGAGGCCCCGCCCCACCTCAGCCCCACCCACCTCCCAGGATTCTAAGAGGCCTTGCCCCACCTCCGAGGCCACCTGCACTCCCACGACCTGTGCAGAAAGCAGAGGCCACCTGATCTGAGGGCGCAGACTCCCGGGCCTGGCTGTGTTCAGCCTGCTCTAGTGTTACACTGGAGGTGCAGAGAGGAGGGTTGATACATCCAGACAGACGAGCACCCTGCTGCCCACTCCTGTCCCCTCACTCTCCAAAGATGACCTTATTTGGAAACTGGGTTTTGCAAGGTGACAGTGGGCCCTGATCCAAGGGCTGGTGTCTTTAAAGAGCCCATGTGAGGTCAGAGCACTGCGGCTACAAACCAGGGGATGCTAGGGGACACCAGGAAGAGAGTGACCTTTGATAGACTTCCTTGGGGCTTGCAGGGGAGGTGGCCCCAGAGCACCATGTCCTCAGACTAATGACCTTTACCCTTCGGGAAGAGGGTCAAACTGTTTTGAGCATCCCGGGTTCTGATGAGTTGTTGGGGCAGCCTGAGGAAATCAATACAACGTCCAAGTAGGTCTCTGCCTAGAGGAGTTGACATCTGCAACAAGCACATAATAAGTGGCTGCTGGGACAACTGGGAGGACTGGACACTGGCTAACATTCCCACATGAAGGCAGGTAACTATTGCAAACACACAGGACAAATGAAAACAGCCCGCATCTCCAGCTCTGGCAGCCCCTCTCCAAGCCAGGGAGACAAGTCGGCTACTCCAACACAGGTGCTCCCAGAACACAAGGCTGCTGCAGGGGGCCAGAGCTGGGCCCACCCCTGACTCAGAACAGCCACAAGGCCCTGCCCAAGGCTGCTCACAGCAGCAGTCCTTCAGGTCTACCTGTGAGGAGGTGAGGCCCTCTTGGCCACCAAGCCACATTCCAGATCCCCAGGGCCAGCAGGAAGGAGGACGTAGCTCTCTGCCTACAGCCCCGACACCACAGCTCTGCACCTACAGCCCCCACACCACAGCTCTCTGCCTACAGCCCAGACACCACAGCTCTCCGCCTACAGCCC